GCCGAACTTTGGAGGAGTATCATCCTTCTGGTGTAGTGAAACAAATCTGCCTGGCTATGGCCGATATTCGTCTGCATAGAGTACAGTTCACTTCTGATGTTATCTACAATAACAGTGCTGGGAAAATGATACAAATATATCACTCATTTTAATTTATTATATAATTTACCTATAAAGCAATAACAAGGTTCCACGCCATGCACAGCAAACTTATTTAGGAGAACTGGCTTCAAGCTTTAATTTCTTCCAGGTATTTGTGATCCATCCATTACAGACATGGGGTCTTTTGTTAGTGCAAAGACAATATACATTTCTTAGTGTGCAACGTTGCCCGACTAGTTAGCAGATTTTTCCCACAAACTCAAGTCACAAACAACAGCAGTGTAGTTTAAATACTGCTTATACATATCTGTATAATCGGTGTGTTCGCAGATAGTCAGGAGTAAATTAGTTTTTATAAAACATAGACAGTGCCTTTGGAGGAGGCTGAGGTTTGCATTGAATAACGACCTATCCTGATCAATGGAACCTTCAGGTTCCCCTGAGATGGCAGGTCATTCATGAGTATCATAATCATTTACGTCTCTCCATAATGAATCTGGTCATATAACGATAACAGGAGCTAATGCGGTATCATGCGATGATTTCTGAAGTATGCATGGCCTTCAGGATTGAATGCAGAAGTGAATATCCGGTCATACTTTTAAGTGAACCTCTGAGGAATCAATACGTTAATAATAAATGCAGTGATGTGTGATGCACATTAATGGGATGCTTTCTGGTGTAAACTAAAAACCGACTGTCTGCAGGCTTGGCCATAACCAAGGATAACCTAATGTTTGTACCGATTTCGGTAAATGACCAGTCACCAGAGTGAAAACTGAGGAACCATGGACCATAAGAATGGCTTCCCCACAAGCAAACGTGAGGTTGGATGTGGAAATATGATCAAACACAGAAGAAAATCATCTTTATGGTGTTCAGCAGGGGAAGTAACTTTCTACTCAGATGAGACTGAGTGACAGCTGAAATTCTCTGTTTGCTGCGAATGATGTGTACAACCACAGACGTTATACAGTGTCAGGTGGCTCTTGCTCTACCACCTCCGAATACTGGTGATTATCTTGACTAGCATTTGTCATAACCATGTTTGTGAAATTTGCTGAACATGCATGTAGTGTGAAATTAGAAAAAAATGCTCACGAAATGGCATATTATTTTTTCTGAATGTCGTGCAATATCTGAGAGATTAAGACATGTCCCTTGTGTGGCCTGATGAAGTTCTTACATCAAAATTCGCTAAACGGGTTAGTCTCTTTAGAAGTATATTCGTGAGCCTCTAGGAGTAGTAGTTTATCAAAAGTGTTGTAGGGATAATGAGGAAGACATGATGCTTTAGCAGAGATAGCTCTGAAATTTATATTAACCGGGTGATCTATGGGTTATGCTGTGGATCTTCACATTATAATCACCTGATTATTACACTTCAAAGTCGCTGACTAAGAGGAGAAGGAAGATTTCTACACTCAACTTCAAACAGTAATAGATAAGATCCCAAATTATTATTATTGTTCCGTTGGGTTCCTAGTGGAACATAGGGCTTCAATTGCACGTCTCCACTTGCTTCTGTCTTCTACTGTACTTTTCACCTGCATCCGTGCTAATCCATACTGTTTCAGCTCCTCTTCACACGATCTCCTCCATGTCACCCTTGGACGTCCCACTCGTCGCTTCCCTTTCGGGTTCCACTCGAGCGATGGCCTGACGCGCAATGTCACCCAGCGGCCTCCTCAGTGAGTGTCCAATCCATCTCCAATTTCTCCTGCATATTTGTTGGGCGATTGGTTCTTGTTTTGTTTGTTCCCATAGTTTCTTGTTGGTGATTCTTTCCGGCCATCTGATCTTCAGTATAGAGCGAAGATAGTGTTGTTGATAAAGGTCTCCAACAGGCTGCTGGAAATATTCTTTGTGACCCGCCGCCAAGTTTCTGATCCGTATAGCAAAACTGACTGACTTGACGTTTGTATTGAAAATCCGAATTTTGTTGTTGATGCTGAGTTGAGTGACGAAGATTTCCAGATTGGTTTCAGGTTGATGAATGTGTTTCTCGCCTTCCCGATTCTCGATTTGACATCCTCGTCCGTTCCACCTGCCTGTAGTTGAGACAATGCTCCCTAGATAAGTGAATGAGGTAACCTCTTTCAAATCCCTCCCGTTGATGGTGATTGACGCTGGATGTTGCTGCTGTTGTTGTTGGCAGTGGTTGGTCATTTTCATAACCTCCGTCTTGTCTATGTTCACCTGGAGTCCTGTCTTTGCTTCTTCTTCGACCAGTTTGTCAGTTTTCGCTTGTAGGTCTTCGATTTTGTGTGACATCAAACATAAATCATCCACACACGAAATCCAGGTCTTCTAGGTTCTTCACGTCCGTCCAGGATATCCCTGTCTTCTCGTTTCCCACTGTCTGACGCATAATCCAGTCCACCACAATTAGGAATACCATTGGTGATAATAAGCACCCTTGTCTGACTCCTGTGTTTACTCCAAACGCCTCGCTGAGTTTTCCGTTGTGGATCACTTGACGTGTGCCGTTGTCATGTGCTGTTGAATATTTGGGGTACGCCGTATTACTCGAGTAATTTCCAAATTACTTCGCGGTCAACGCTGCCGAAGGCCTTCTCAGTGTCTATAAAGTTGAGGTAGAGGTTTGATTGCCATTCGATGCTTTGTTCGATGATAATAAGTAGAGTTGCGATTTGGTCAGAACATAATTCGCCTTTCCTGAATCCAGCTTGTTCTGGTCGGAATTCCGCATCCAGTGCGTCCTTTATTCTCTCCAGGATAATGCGACGAGGTTAAGATCCCAAATAGCGACATAAAATTCTAATGGACGATGTAGATGCTAAAATAGAAGACAATACAAGAAGAGAATTCATAATGGATCGGGTTGATTTTGGCGAGATGAATAAGAACGGAGAACTCTTCGCAGGCTTATGTGCAATGATTGATTTGGCTATCGAAGGCACAAGATAACATGTATTTCGCCTGATGGAAACACAAAAACCCAGGTGGATTTCATCTGAGTCTCAGGAAAATTGAGACGCAGCCTGCGAATGAAAAGTCAAGGGCGGCAGGTAACGGCTCAGACCATCATCTAGTTTAAGGAACCTCCAAGGTCAAGTTGAAGGCCTTCCGAGCAACTGGTGACGGTCTAAAATTCAAGTTCAACAACCAGCAACTGAAGGAAAAAACTACCAGGGATGCCTTCACTACAGATATCGGAACAAAGCTGGAGATACTACGTGATACCACTGAGAAAACCTACGTGGAAGAACATTGGAGCTCTCTTAAGGTGATGTTCAAGGAAGCGTATACAACTGTCTTAGGAAGAAAGAAGAGACAAGACAAGGAATGACTCTCAACTGACACCTGGGAGGTGATATAAGGGAGGAGGATGGTGAAGGGGAAGATGACTCGATGCAAGGATGGGTGACAGTAGGAGAAGCTAAGTTAACAGTATATCGCACTGAAGTGAAGAAGAGTGCTAGAAAAGACGAGTCTGCGACACAATGGCTGGCGGCAACTGAAGCAGAACAGGCCGCATGTAAAAGAGATCTTAGGACATCATATCAGATAACCAGGTCACTATCCGGGAAGAGATCAACCCAGATAATGAAATCTATAGAAGATAGCCGAGGGAAGGTAATTTTCAAGGATGGGATTACAAATAAAAAAATGGCTAATCACTTTAAAAGACTCTTGAACCGACCATCAGCTTGCAAGTGGTTTAGAGACAATGGCAGCCTCAGAACTACTGGAGGACAGCAATCCTCCAGGAAATAGAAGTCTTGAATGCGGTCAAGCTACTGAAGTCCGAGAAGGCAGCAGAGCCAGACGGAATTCCCCCGAAGCACTGATACAGACCCAGAGACTGCGTTGGATATGCTGACTCCATTATTGTTAAACTTTTGGAAGGGAGGAAGGGAACCTACCTGTTAGAAGAAAGGCTGACAATCTTGTCAAGCTAACATGGAGGGGCAGCCTACGCCTCAGTATGGAAGTGCTAACTGGCGTGGAATAATGCTTCTGTCCACACTAAGTAAAATACCAGGTCGCATCATCCTGCAGAGAATAAAGGATGCAGTGGACACAGAACTCCGTCAACCGGAACAAGCTGGGTTGAGGAAACGCAAATGATGTGCTGATCAAATAGCAGCTATACGCTTCGTCATTATAGAAGAAAGAAAAGAATGGCAGTCAAACCACTACCTCAACAATTTTATGGACTTTAAAAATGCCTTCGACAGGCAGCGTTTACCGAGCAGTGGTTCGGAATCTAATTCAACACTACGGCGTGCAGTTCCCAGCTCTTCATCAACGTCACTCAACAGCTAGCTATATGATAATGCCACATGTCAACTGATGCACAACGGAGAACTCAGTGAGGCGTATGGAGTGAAGCCGGGATTATGACGGGGCTGCCTACAGTCACCGAAGATAGTTGTGACAGACTAGATTGTGCGTTAGAGTGTGGGGAGCTAGTAAGCGAAAAAACGAGGTTATCATTTTTAACACTTCTTCTTTTCTTTCCACAACCACTCTGAATGCCACAAGAATCGTTACTTTCATCACGTCAGTCTCCTCAGTGACATCGAATGACTAACTAATCCGAGGATGAACTATGATCACACCAAGATTACTGTCTTAAAGCAAGTCAGAAGACGCCCTTATGACCTAATCAACCTCCTACCGCTCTTAGTTTTCACTACACCAATGACAATCAAGCGTCGGCAATGACTAACCAGGAATCCACGGAAGATTGTAACCGACCTACCAGAACCAATAAATAATTAGGCTTTAACTAGTTAGCTGACGGGATATTAAATAAAAGAATAAAATGAAGAAGTCCATTTTTCCTACTAAATTTAAAGCAACAGCTAATTTAGTTTACACAGTACTTTTGTTAACTTGTTTCAACGGTTTTTATTTTTCAGTTTCAAGGTCGATCGCCTTTTCTGTATCATGTCCTGTAAGCGTGTGTTGGTGTTTGGTGGTCGTGGTGCATTGGGTTCTACGTGTTTGAAACACTTTAAGAGTAAAGGATTAGTACGTCTTAGAGTTGATTGATTTAGTTTTGCTTAGTGGGTTTGCTCAGTTGATTTCAGCGAAAATTCTGAAGCTGATGCAAATATTCTCGTTAGTGAGTGTGATACTTGTTCAGCACAGGAAAAACTCATGAAGAGCGATTTAAATAAAGTTCTAAATAACCAGAAGTTAGATGGCATATTTTGTGTTGCTGGTGGGTGGGTTGGAGGCAATGCTGCTCATCGAGGTATGCAGAAATTACCAATGCTTAAATACTTACAGACTTTTTGGAAAATTGCGATGTTATGTGGAAGAAGTGCGTCTGGTCCTCATCTATTGCTGCGTCATTAGCTTCGAGTCATCTTTCAACTAACGGTCTACTATTACTTACAGGAGCACATGCAGCTTTACAAGCCACTCCAGGTAATGAATATTTCTTATACCCAAATTTATTTTTCTTCTGAAGTTGTTTTGTGTTTTCAACATGTTGACCCCGAACTTCAATTGTTAAGTATAATTAGAGATTTTGAATGTTACTTTTATTAAAAAGCTTGTTGCGCTAGGTCATAACATCTCAGAGGTGGGCAGGGAAGTTGAAAATCCAAATTGAAAGTACATCACTATAGATGACTGGTTCTTCAACTAATTTATCAGCTTACACAGTTTCTTTTATGCCTTCAAATACACCCAGGGCCAACATTTTCAGCATTAAAACCAGTTCCATACAAACGTTTGCAGTTGATTCCCAAAACTAGTTGTGTCTACACCTTCAGTCGACGTGGTGAGGAGTAGATCGGACAAGCATAGATTCTTATTGGAAATGATTTAGTGTGAGCTATATGCTTTCTATTCCTGGAGTTAAATAAATGAGTGCGTTTTCGAGACAGATAGTTTCGAAATTTAAAATTTTGCCATTCATTTTGCTTTGACCATTTTATAATTCTATCAAGTGTGAAATAGGAACGGGGTCATTAAATCTCTATTAACAGCTCAGATGCTGAGAGCAAAATGCTAATAAGTCTTTTCCGTTGCAAATCCTTCCCAGACTTGTGAATTGATTTCGGGAATATGTTGAGTATTGTTGTTCTCGTGGCAAATCCACTGCTTGAATCTGAGATCTGGTCTCTATGATGTGGAGAGCTTAGACAAATAATGCGTTTCAGGTTTTATAGCAGCGAGAATTTTTATTTCATATGTAATACGCGTATTAACTTCTGTGATATGCCACACTTGTTTATTTTTATTTCTAAATGTATCGTTCTAGTGTATTACTTTTTTGGTGATAAAATGAAGCTTTTTATTTTTAGGTATGCTGGCCTATGGCATGGCTAAAGCTGCTGTACATCAGCTTACAAGAAGTTTGGCAGGACAGAAAAGTGGACTTCCAGATGGTGCTTGCGTAATTGCAATCTCTCCGTAAGTCGTTTGAACTCAAGAGTAGATTTGGCAGTTATTTGACTATTTTCGTGTTATGTAGACTATTTTTTAGTTAGCTTGTTTAATAACCATCATTTGATATACTCTTCGCGAAACTATTTAAGCTAGGAAATGCTCACACAGCACAGTTATTATTGTTTTCTTTAGTTCCTAGAGGAAAATAGGGCTTCAGCCTCACGTCTCCATTGCGTTTGGTTCTCCAACAACGTTTTCACCTGGCTCCACATCTGCCCACATGCCTTCATCTCCTATTCGCATCACCCCCCACTCCAAGTCACTCTAATACTGACGACTAACTCGCCGCTTCCCGTTCGTGTTCCACTCGAGAGCCTGTCTTGTGATGTAACTTCATGGTTTCCTCATCGTATGTCCAATCGGTTCCTGGTTGGTTCGCTCCCAGAGATCTCTGTTGCTGATCTTTTCTGGCCGGCCATCTGATCTTGAGTATTGAGCGAAGACAACTGTTGGTGAAGGTCTGTAGTTTGTTTGATGTGCTCTTTATGACGCGCCAAGTTTCTGATCCATAAAGTAGCACTGACTTCACATTGGAGTTGAAAATCCCGATCTTATTTTTCATGCTAAATAAGACTGTTGATCTCCACAGACTTGAGAGTAATGAAAGCTTGCCTTGCTTTCCCGATCCTCGCTGCTTTGATATCCTCGTCAGTTCCGTCCGCCTGTAGTCGGAACGATGCTTCCCAGGTAGGTTGGTAAGTAAAGGAGGTTGCTTCTTTCAGATTTCTCCCATTTAAGCACAGTTATTAGCAATAGGTTTCTCTTACTCAAAATGGTGATTCAAAAGATTCACATTATAGTGTAATTACAGCAGTAATAGTAATTCCAATTGGTTTCATGAAAACTAATCACACAGCCGTATGGCTCAGTCACTAGGTGCATCTCAGAGTGGCGGAATTTGACTGCTCGTTAATCTTACTAATATATAGTCATCATTCACATACTTCGAATCCTGATCGGTAGTAAATGAGACTGGGCTGTGATTACGCATAATAAGACAGCTATATGGTATACATATGTTTTTTGGTGTTCAGACTTAAGCCCATTGCGTCAAATTGAAATCTGCCCTTAATTTTACTGTTCCCTTCTAAACACAGTCTGATTTTGTGGAGTAATGGATTATATAAACGCTAAAGTACTAGGTGTTACTTTTTGTGTTAGTCAGGCTCTTCTGTTACCAAAGTCTTTCAGATCTATATTGTTTGGAAAGTTTGTTCCTGCAGTTGCTACCATTTCATCTAGATCGGTTACAAAATGATGAAATGTCAGGCGGTCAGCTTCGTGGAAATTTCCTTCTTGAAGGTTTTATACGAAGAAGTCACAATAGGACCATGAAAACTATAGCCTAAACATGAAATTCTATATTGGTTTGTTTATTAGATATATCACACAGTCAATGAAACAGTATTATTGTTTACTGGATGACGTTTCGAACAAAATTTATTGTTCATAATCATTTCATCAATTAAAATCATTCACGATTTCGAAACTTGAGTTCTATAGTTTCCTTTGTTCTCTCCTAATTGTCATGGTCGGGGTAGTAGAATTTTGCAGATATCTGGGTGGACAGGTGTTCAATCATTCCTATTACACGTATTCACTCTCAGTTGATTCGATAAACAAAGCTTCTGTTATCAATCTCTCCCTCCACCATGTTAGTTGTATTAGATTTTAAAACTGTCATCTTATCCCATCCACTCGATTTTATGGTTGTGTGTAATTTCATGTCATGAGTGCTATGGCTGAAGTATTCTCTAGATTTCTTATCTTATTTGGGTCAACTAATCTAGATTTCGCTAGATTTTATGTTCGGCTAGTCTGACTGCCCCTGTTCTACTACTTTGACCTATGTATTTGACCTGACAATCATTTCAACAGGGTATTAGATGAACTAACTTGTTTTGTTTTAAAGCCTCCATTGGCACGATCCCTTAACCGACAAAACTTGTTTCTAATTGAGTCTATGTTGGGAACAGTTGGTTCCTGCTGGGTTGGTTCGTTCATTGCCGGAGATCCCTGTTGCTTATCTTTTCTGGCCGGTCATCTGATCTTGAGGAGTATTGAACGAAGACAGCTGTTGATGAAGGTCTGTAGTTTGTCTGAATTGGCCTTCGTGACGCGGCGCCAGGTCTCTGATCCGTATAGTAGCATTGACTTCACATTGGAGTTGAAAATCCGGATCTTATTTTTCATGCTGATTGCTGCCAACTTCCACACAGACTTGAGAGTAATAAAAGCCTGCCTTGCTTTCCCGATCCTCACTGCTTCGATATCCTCATCAGTTCCGTCCGCCTGTAGTTGAAACGATGCTTCTCAGGTAGGTTGATAGGTAAAGGAGGTTGTTTCTTTCAGGTTCGTTCCATTTATGCTGATTGTTGTCTGTTGTTGCTGTTGCTGCTGACCAGGAATCTTCATCATCACCTCTGTTTTCTCTATGTTCACCTGGAGTCCTATCTTTGCTGCTTCTTCTGCCAACTTGTTGCTTTTCATTTGCACATCTTCCAGTTTGTGAGAAATCAGATAAATATCATCGGTGAAATTCAGATCCTCCAAGTTTTTTGTGTGGGTCCATTTTATGCCTGTTTCCCCGCTGACCACTGTTTGTCGTATTATCTAGTCTACCACAATCAGGAAAGTCACTTGAGATAGTATGCAACCAGCCAGCCTTGTTTTACCCTCGTCTTTACTTCAAAGAATTCCGTGAGTTTCTCGTTGTGGATTACTTGGAATGCAGCATTGTTGTACAACTGTTGGATGAGATGTTTAATTTTTGGCGGCACCCCTTGGTAGTAGCGAATTAGTTTCCAAATCACCTTTCGGTCGACGCCGCTCTATCGAAAGTCTTTTCAAAGTCAATGAAGTTGAGATTGGTTGGAGAGTGTTCTACCGCTGAACTACTGGCGTACGCAATTTGTTTATAAAGTGTTTCATTTATAAATCTGACAATTAATCTATTTTTTTAAGTAAAATAAAAATAACTGCCTACCAGAATTTATTCAGAAATATGTGGAAAACCATAGAAGAAGTAAGATTAGTAATAAAAATGACGAAAATAACGGAAATAATATCGAATCCAGACGTCATGCAGTACTGCTGTATAAAGAAGGGACGTCACAGCCCCACGTAGGATTCTTAATGCAGATGGAATTAGCCGGGGGGGGGGCATTTAAACCAACCAACTCTCCCTAAGACATAAACTTTGTCGACTTAAGGACCAAATAGATGCAATTAAGAAATACAATATAATTTACCAAATATCCTGCAATTAATGACTATGAGGTCAATTACACACGGGTCAAACTAGTAGATCGGGGTTAACTCGATTATCGAAACATACAAATTTAACTGGACTTAGAATGATGATTGACCCTGTTACGTTCAATAACCTAGAAAAAAGCTCAGCCATTGGACTGCACTATAATAATAATAATTATTATTTAAACGCAGAAAAACTTGGTACAATATGGCACCAAGAAGATGCGCCACACAATAATAATAAAACAACATAGATTAAAAGTAAAAATATACGTAGACACCGGATAAAGAACTTCATCTGGAAGGAAAACAGTCCTTTTTAACAAGTTGATCATACTTAATAGGTTCAGACAGTATTCGTCAACTATCATCGGGAAGGGAAGAAAGATGGGAATTGCAGCACGTTCGCCATTGATGACTGCGATTCTTGGCTATCTCCGATGACGTTTCGAGCCATCGATTCGAGGTATCTCTCGGACTCCAACGAGGGAGTAGTGACGCACCAAACGATGCTAATCTATCCCAAATATCCTTCATCACTGCACTGACTTGTATGTAATCACAAAATAGGGTGGAACATGGTGAGAGTATTAGAAAGTAATATAGTTAGGTGGGGAGAGGCAGGGAGAGAGAGGTTAATCACTGAAGCTTCATTTATCGATTCAATACCTCACACTGGCAGTCAATCGGAATGAAGCAACGCCGCCTATACCGGAGATATGGAAAGTGGTAACAAACAACAAGGGGAAGGTGGATAGAGAGAGAGAGAAAGAGAGAAAATGTGTATAAGACAAGTTCTGAAACCATGTGACCGAACTGATATGATTATGAGTGGCAATAACTTATGCTCCAAACCTTGTCATCCAGTTGTTAATAACACTGCATCATCGCTGTGTGATAATTAAAATAAACTTATCTTGATATGGAATTACATTCTACCACAGTGTCCAAGTTCTCCACTCACATTAGAAATAAAAACATTATCTGCAATAGAGTCTGTTGGAAACTTGTACTGTTCCTTAAGGATTTCACCCACTTTATCTTCATAATCAGATTTCTTCATGATGAAGACACCTTGTACTGTGCCGGACTGATGATATGATCTTTTTCTTCTATTAATATATGTGTAAAACTTGAGCACTGTGGTAGTAAGTAATTCCATATTAGTTTGTTTATAAGATGTATCACACAGTCAAAGAAACAGTATTATTTACTGGATGACAAAGTTTCGAACACAGTTCATTATTGTTCATAATCATTTTATCAGTTGTAATTACACAACTTCGAAACTTGAGTTTTATAGTTTTCTTTGTCCTCTCCTATTTGTCGTCGTTGGGGTAGTAGAATTTTTCAGATATCTGAGTGGACAGCTGTTGAATCATTCCTTTTAGTGGGATGAGTGGTATCCCGTTGGGCCATGTCGTTGACATCGTCACTGATAGGCACTTGATGTCATGCAACAAATTTGCCAAAGGAATTTTGTCAGACTGTGAGCACCCACTCTACCCGCAGCTCCAACCCTGTGTCTCCTCAGGTAAAGCAAGAAGTCTTTTCAGAAGACTTTATGCACGTACGTCTAAGTATAAAAATTGCATTATACCATATTTGGCACGTACTTTATGTGATGAAGATAGTGTTAAGCATGAACTAACTAATCTTCTTTGCACTATTAAATAAACCATTTCCTCCAACCTTACAACACCAACCTTTATTGTTATTGTCCTCCTTATATTTATAATCCTCTCAATTTTTTGTTTTTATTTGTTCATTTGTTCATAAGTGTAAACATCATTTAAGCTGTGTTATAACTGTTAATTTTGTATTTCCCTTCACCATACTATATCAACAGAACATTAGACCCAATTATCCATAACATGCTAAAATTTTCAAACTGAATCGACAATACAGTTTGAAAACAAACTCGCTGTTATTACTATTATTATTATATTTAAAATTCTTAATTCGTACTTCGAATATTTTTGACTTTATATCGTAAATGTGGACAAATTCCTCTTGTTAATTTTGTTTCAATTTTTAATTTTATTTATATTTTGAGTAAATTTAGATGGAATACTGTGACAAATGCTGAGAATTCCATTCTGTATTATAAGTACTGTTTGTTTTGGAATAAAGTAGATTATTATTATTATGTTATCTACTACTAATGTTCAGTTAATAATTGAATTGATAAAATAAGCACACGATTTCAAATGGTAATTTCTGTAAATAATTCAATTCACCGCATATCCATTCTAAAATATCTGACCATCTTTAATTTTCTGCATCTTATATTGTTATGATTACAGAATAACTTTGGATACTCCTATGAACAGAAAATGGATGCCGAAAGCAGATCATACAACATGGACACCGACTGAAACAGTGGCTGAGTAAGTTCCAGTTGTGTTTGTACAAAGCAACACTTTTAAGCAATTCTTTTGGAGAAAAAAACAAACATTCCCCAATTATTTCCGATATCTTTTAAAACTGCAAACTCTTTAGGAAAAGATTGATTATTGAACCAAGAATATTCTTTTCGATAACCTCTTCTTCATCAGGTTCTACAATTATATATCCATCCATAATAACGACAGAACGGTTGTTATTGACAACATTAGTGATTTTATAAAAAGAGCGCAACCTCGAATCATTTAGATCAGAACTCCAAGAGTTATTTGCAATTAAATTGTGATCAGCTCGTAAAAACAAACCAACTATAGAAACTTAATCTGATGCTCACTAGGGACTCGCTACAGGATGGAGTTTCCTGGAGTTCTTCTAGTGATAAGTCCAGTGACCAGTGAGGTCCATCCAGACATCAAGTGTGAGAATGGATGTCTCACCGACAACATTGGTGTTGGGGTCGCGCTAAATCACCAATTGGTAGGAGTTAGAATTCATGGGCTGGCCATTGCAATCGGGTGGGTCCCAGTGGCTAAATGGTCTACGAGCTAGCTTGCCTTGTAACCCTAAGGTCCAGGTTTCGAACTCATTGTTGTGGGGTGCGTAGTGCCGATGATTCCCAAACTAGGACGGAGGGAACAACTGTCCAGTACTCCCTGGTTTCCAATGGTTCTGTAACTGATATCAATCCATGATCAACTCGTAAAAACAAATCTAATCCTTACAAACCAAACATAGAAGTTTGTTAATAGATTATAGTCCAAAATATATGCGTATGTGGTAATATGTAAACTAGTAATACTACTAAATTGAACCCTAATATTAAAAAGTAAATGATTATGAGCGACAACATCCATAAAACGTCCAACGCCAATCACCATCAACCGGATGGATTTGAAAGAGGTCACTTCATTCACTTATCTAGGGAGCATTGTCTCAACTACACGAGGAACGGACCAGGATGTCAAATAGAGGATCGGGAAGACGAGAAACACATTCATCAACCTGAAACCAATCTGCAAATCTTCGTCACTTCACTCAGCATCAACAACAAAATTCGGATTTTCAGTACAAACGTCAAGTCAGTCAGTTCTTCTATATGGATGGATCAGAAACTTGGCCAGTGTGTCACAAAGAATATTTCCAACAGCCTGTTGCAGACTTTTATCAACAACTGTCTTCGCTCTATACTGAAGATCAGATGGCCGGCTGGAAAGAATCACAAACAAGAAACTATGGGAACAAACAAAACAAGAACCAATCGCCCAACAAATACTCAGGAGAAAGTGGAGATGGATTGGACACTCGCTGAGGAGGCCGCTGGATGACATCGCGCGTCAGGCCAACGCTCGAGTGGAACTCGAAAGGAAAGCGGCGAGTGGGACGTCAGTGCTAGGGTGACATGGAAGAGATCGTGTGAAGAGGAGTTGAAACAGTATGGACTAACATGGATGCAAGTGAAAAGTACAGCAGAAGACAGAAGCAATTGGAGACGTGCAGTTGAAGCCCTATGTTCCACTATGGACCCAAGGGAACAATAATAATAATATGAACGACAACGAATGTACAACAATAAATTCTCATGAATCATGTTCATATTGAGTTCCATTTATGTTGATTATAAACTTCAGATGGATGAATGATCATGTCTATGACAGGGGTAGAGAAAAAGGGGTTTTTGGGTTGAAATTAATGTGCGTTGTATGTGTGTGTGTGTTTCAGTGTGTGTAAGTTAACAATTACGTTTAAATAAGAAAATAAAAGGTTAGTTAATGCAAGTGTAATGACAAGGGGTAGAGGAATTTATATGTACAGGATGGAGGGCCATAACAAAAGGGTCGATGTAATAAGGTATTTATGAATTTGTAAACTCTGCAGCAGGCCAAGGCAGTAACAGTGTTTAGAACTGTTTCTTCTGCACACAGAGCACCGGTTGTCTCAGGCGAATCGCGATAGCCTCTGCTCTTTGGAGTATGCACTACCCGGATGATTCTGGCAGTTTGTTTGGTACCAGATGGGTGATGGAGAAGGACTATTGAAATATTAGCTTTGTGGCCAGTTTGGACCAAGTGTTCTAATATCGAACTGTTGATAGTTTGTACTACACCTTTATTTAACCACACTGGTAGATGTTCTCGAGAGAGCACGAAAAATCAAGTTCCTAGAGCAACGGCCAATTTAACTTTCTCCACCATAAGCATAGCTGAATTGGTAAATACAATTAGAAGTGGCTAGCTAGTTTGGGTACTTCATCTTTCAACCGAGGAAAAAAACCACATTACAGTAGTTCTTAAAATACAGCAAACTTAAGCAAGGAGATGTAACTGTGTGGATGGTTACTGTGATATACGTGTTTACTGCTCTAAATGTCTTAGGTCCCATAATATTACTTGGTTCCTCAAGGGAAAATATGTTTAGTACGGTTTTGAACAACCCAGCTACGAGCATACCTGAATGCTTCGGTGGCACAGCGGTTAGGACTCTCGCCGGCCATGTACATGGTCCGGTGTCCGATTCCCTGCCGATGCACATCTGATATCTATGGTTGGCCTGCAAAATTTGGGCTACCGATATCACATGCTTAAAATTCCATACCTGTACCAGAAAAATACGGTGTGGAATCAAGCTGTAATAAAAAAAGAATACCTTTTGTCTAGGATACCATTGACAACCCGACATAATCACTCAACTTTATATCTTCAATAACTACGAAACCAAAGAGTGTTTGGCTTTTTCTGGTGTAAACTGCTGCAGAATACTGTTGATCCTATCAATAGGATAAATAGATTAGTCCAGCACAGATAGATATTTGGTTACAGGGTTTGATCATGAGCTGGTATTAATTAGAGAACCGTTAGAAAACCAGGGAGTATTGGACAGCTGTTTCGTCCTACTTTGGGACTCTTCATCAGTACGCACCCAGGATCTTCTGGTTATGAGGTGCGCCCGTAGGTCGTTCAGCCAGTGATTGTCATAGGCAAATAACTGTCCTCTTACATTACTCGGTGTAGAACACACAGCTGGTCACGACATCTCACTAGAACTTCGAGTAACGTCGTGTGTACAGACTGTCGCCAGTGAATTTTATTGTTCAGATGATATTATCATCGCGCCGAAATCAATTAAATCAAATGGTATACCATTAGGAAAATCTCCAGGATATTTGTCCACATGTGGATAGATTATTAAACCATTCAACCGAAGCCTAATATCAGTAAGGATTCTGTGAGTGGATCTCAGAACTCTGTCGTCAGTAGGCATTATCTCCATTTTTACTTTCGTTGACATTTAAATTGATCTGATAAATATTTATCTTTTACGAGTTGATCACGGATTGATATCAGTTAGAGAACCATTGAAAACCAGGGAGTACTGGACAGCTACTGTTTCATCCTAGTTTCTGGGTTCTCTAACTCATATCAATCCGTGATCAACTCGTAAAAACCAAACTACAGAAAATTAATCTGATGCTTGTTAGTGGCTTGCTACAGGACAGAGTTTCCTGGAGTTCTTCTAGTGATAAGTCCAGTGACCAGTGAGGTCCATCCAGACATCAATTGTGAGGATGGATGTCCCACCGATGACATGGGTTGGTGCTAGTCGCGCTAAATCACGAATTGGTAGAAGTTAGAATTCATGAGCTGGCTGGCCATTAAATCGGGTCCCAGTGAATGGCTTAATGGTATACGAGCTAGCTTGCCTTGTAACCCGAAGGTTCAGGTTTCGAACTCATTGTTGTGGGGTGCGTAGTGCCGATGATTCCCAAACTAGGACGGAGGAAACAGCTGTCCAGTACTCCAGTGCTTGTTTTCAATGGTTTTCTCACTGATATCAATCCGTGATCACCTCGTAAAAACAAAACTAACTTTTACTAACTAAACTTTAGAAAATATTTGTCTACTAACACATGTCACATATGTTACTGTTAATTCGTTCGTTCACCAATTGTTCTGTTATTAATACTTTTCAACAGGTTATGCCTTTCTTGGCTAGAAGATGTTGACAGTCGACCACAATCTGGAAGTATAATTCAGTTAATTACTAAAGACAATAAAACAGAATGCATTCCAGTTTAGTTTTTTTTTCCTATGAAGATAAATAATATTATCCCTCGGTTTATATATACATATATATACATACTGACAATCTTTGAGAATTAATGAAATTGAATTGTGTTCACCTATGTGTATTTTGAACAGTATTCACTCTTATGATTATTTTCTGTAATCAGCCATTCTTATTTCGAAAGAAAGAAAAAATTACATGAGATCATGATCACTGAATAAAAAGACACAATTGTACTGTTGTTTCTTTCAATGTGTGTGTGTGTGTGTGTGTGCGTGCGTGCTTGCGTGGTATCGATTCTTCGTATGTTAGTTGAAAACTTTTAGTCATTAACCTGAAAAGCATTCACACAATGATTCAGAGATAATTTGCTTATTGTCAAGTATTGATTTTCGTCTATCTCTCTCTCCCTCTGTCTGGATTCAACATAGAACTTGGCACCGAAGTGCAGCAGTTCCAGTTGCCACGTTCCAAATAGCACACAAACGTAGACAAGAAGATGAGTGAAGAGAATCAATAGAGTTTTGACAAGTATAAGAGTGAAACAGAATGAATAATGGTAGAAAGGAATATGAAAGATTACAGAGACTGAATACATCTGCGTAAGCCATTGACAACGATTTTGAGCAATGTCATGTCACCTATTGTCTCCAGCCATTGATTCTTAGAGTCCCGAGGGCCCCAACCCGGAAGTCTGCATCTCCCTCCCTACCTGACTCAGTTTAACTGTCAAGGATTTCATGGATTGATGAGGCCATGTTTTTGTTTGGCATGGCACCACTTTCCCTTTTCCAACCTGCACCTATATCAGCTTGTAATGCCCGGAGTGGGGGAGGCGATGGTTAGGCATGCGCAGCACGTGACCTAGCCATCTCAATCTATGTAACTTTATAGCCTCTTCGACTTATTTTCCTTCTTTGCCCAACACTCTACGCCTAACGTCAACATTACTTATGTTATTATGCCAACTAACGTGAGAAAGAGATCGCAGACATCTATGATCAAAAACAGTCAACCTTTTCATGTCTTCAACTCGTATTGGCCATGTTTCAGAGCCATAGAGAAGGACAGAGCGGACTGTTGAGCAGTACACACGTCCCTTGGTTGATATCCGGATGTCACGCCTACACCAGAGGTGGCGTAAGTTAGCGAAAGCAGTTCGAGCATTTTTGATCCGTGCTGAGATTTCGTTGCGAATCAGTCCGTTGGTGCTGATACAGCTTCCCAAATAGGTCAAGTGGTTAACATGTTCTATCACCTCACTCCCTATCACTAAACTAGGAGTTGACGTAGTCCAGCCCTGTAGCAGCATCTTACATTTTACAGGGGCGAATCGCATGCCAAACATACGAAGATTGCTGCTCAAGGTGTTCAGAAGACTCTGCATTTTGTCAGCATCCTCCCCTAACACGACTATGTCATCTGCATATTCTAAGTCCATAAGTCGATTCCTTAGTCGTTAAGTTCAGTTAAGGATACTTTCATTAGCATATCTATGATGAAGTTAACCAGGAATGGGGAAAGTGGACATCCTCGACGGACACCACTGGTTGTTATCAATTCAGATGACAATTCCCCATAAGCCCTTACACAGCTACGTGAGTTTGAGTATAGTGCCTTGATTAGTGCAATGTACTTTCTTGGCACTCCCTTCACCGTCAAACATTGCCATAGTGCCTTTCGATCCACGGAGTCGAAGGCCGCCTTCAAGTCAAGAAATATGGCAATTGTTGGACGCCGAAAAGTGTGTCTATGTTCTAGGATCTGTCGGAGAGTGAAGATATTATCTATGCACCCTCTACCTGGCCTAAAGCCCGCTTGATTTTCCCTCGTTTGTTCCTCCCGAGTTCGGCTTACTCTGTGCATGATTATGAAGCCTAGGATTTTAGAGACTATGTTCGTTAGGCTGATTCCCCTATGATTAGCACGTGAGGAATTGGTTTTCGTAGGGACTATTTTTGTTTCATTGGCTGGAGGATTTCATCATGAAATGACCACTGAAAACCAGCACTGGAGTACTGTCAGATAGCTGTTGCGTCAGCCTAGTTTGGGACTCCTCATCAGTATGCATCCACCACAGGGGGTGGGGGTTCGAACCCATGACCTTCTGGTTACTAGGCCAGTGAGCTCGTAGACCATTCGTCAGCTACTGGGACCCGATCCAATGGACAGTCAGCCCATGAATTCTAACTTCTGCCAATTCATGACATAACGTGACCAAACACGTGGCGATACGTTTGTTAACAATAATTAACCAGTGTCAAAATGTCAATGGGTAGATAATTAAGGAAGAAAATTAATACACACAATTAAAAGGTAGAAATGGATAGAATAAATTAATTTTACAAGAATAACACGTAATTAAAGATGAAGTGGTCAAAATAAAATTAAGATAATTTGGACAATTATAATGTAATTTTACAAGAATAACACGTGATTAAAGAAGAAGTCAAAATAAAAATAATTTGGACAATTATAATTTAATAGGGGGAGGGGGGCGACGTAGTCCTGTCTTGTAACGATGGCCACGGTAAGCAAAGTGGCTGTACAAATTTCTTCTGTACACATAGGCTTGGTTTCTTCTGGTGGATTCCAATTGCCTCAGCTGTCTGTAAAAGACGAAATCTTAGAGCAAAGTTAAGATTAGTTGGAATACGATAAATAATTTTAATTTAATTTTTAATTTTCTATAACGTGACCACTCCGTAATGTCTTCTTCGATGAGTTACTGCCTCACCTTCAACCTGATGCAGCCTACTGGTCACGGCTTCCCACTAGAACTCTAGTGAGCATCACTTTAGTTTGATGGAGCTGTTCTACGCGAACACTTCACCTTCATGTTATTACACAAACTGTGCAGACTAAATTATGGCTGTGCTTAACAAATATATTTTCACGCAATGTTTGCATAGTGTTGGCCCTTCAATTATTTAGACTGCCATTGTTCAGTGTTTTGTTTTGTGATGTCTATTCATCTGAATGCAGATTTCATACTTATTATTATTTCCCTTGATTTTGAGTACAACGAAGACCTTAGCAGCATATTTCCACTCTATCTTGTCCTCTACAGCCTTCATCAGCTGGCTCCATGACTGTCTATAAACTCTCATCTCCTCTACAACACTATTTCCTCCATGTTATCCCACATGAAGTCATGCTCAACTTGTCGTTTCCCATTCGGTTTCAAGTAAAAGGTCTGATGCTCAGTGTACCCAATCCATCTCCCCCTCCCCCCTTTGATATATTTTTTAGCCAGCAGGTTCTTGGCTGGTCTGTCGATAGACTTCTTTGTTGCTAATTCTTTCTGACCAATGCGAAGGAAAAATTTTCTGGTGAAAGTGTGCAATAGCCTAGGGAAGGGGGGGGAATGCTCTTGTTGACACAATCGCCAATTCTCTCGACCGTACAAAGAAGCACTAGCTGACTCGGAATTAGTGTTGAAAATCGGAATCTTCTTCCTGATGCAGAATGCAGAAGATTTCTGCACTGATTTCGGAGAAAATGAAGGTGTGTCTTGCTTTTTCAATCAGTTGCTGGCTGGCTGGCTGACTTTGACATCTTCATCTCTGCTGTCGCCTTTAGGTTGAAACAATGCGGCCTACGTCGGGTATGTGGACGAGTTGAACTTCCTTTAGATTTCTTCTATTGATAGTGATTGATGCTTCTAGTTGTTGGTTAAGTATCTTCAACACATCTATCTTTTCTGTTGTTCCCTTAAAGTTCTATCTTCACCTCTTCTTTGACTAATTTGTCAGTTTTCATCAATAGATCTTCGGGTGTACGTCCTGTCCTAGTTTAGAATTTAAGCGTGATGTACAAAAAATGCTTCAGTATTGATTCATGGAAGATATCGATTAGAACACCTAGAAAACACACCTAAAAGAGGCTCTTTTCAACGAATCTTTTATCAAGCTGTACAGTTGTATATATATATATATGTATAAGGTGCAACTTGAAGCACTTTCTCTTGGCCTTAGATTTTGTGATAGACCGAAACGAGTTAATCACTTAGATACCAGTATTGCATTTGAAAACCTGTTTAGTCAAACAATGGATCTAGTTCTGTCATCCACGCTGGAACTAGAACGCTTCAAATCCAGTCTAGTGGATTGTTGTTATCAGTACAAAAAATCAAATGCGACAGTAGAAGTTTCTTGACAAAGAAGCACAGAGAAGAACGAGCATTCTGTCAAAAAGGGTCAAAGAACACTATCCAGTGTGGTTGCAGAAAGGAAATAGTGGCCGTATAAGGAGTGCAATAATCGAACATCTCGTCAACACTGGTCATTCCATCTCAACAAACGCCTCCTGCTTCAAAGTAATCTACAAAGTGAAGAACAACCTTCCAAAGACAATACGTTTCCGTCTTCTTTGCATTGCAGAAGCCCTAACCATTCAGTTGGAAGAACCAGAACTATGCATACAAAAGAAAATTATTCAACCACTTCTACTATCATGGTAACAACTCCGTTGATTTGACTTAACTTTTGTTTGTTTGTTTGATTTGACTTAACTCTTGTTTGTATGCTTATTTTTCTAACTACTTAAAACCCTTGCGTAATTCCGTATGTTATTTTGTTTCCATGTACACCCTGAGTACAACTCTTTCATCAAACTATTCATGTTATTACGCAACTCTTCTTTAACAATCGTTTGTGACAACTCATCACTTTTGTTCCTATCCTCTCATATCAACATCCAATTCACCTGAACTTACTAATTGTATTTTCGTTTGAGAAATTTAATGTAGACACACACATACAAAACAACCATATATATTTGCGATTGTACAGCCATGAAAATGAATTCGCCGGCGAGAAGAGACTCTTCGCTGAACTGCTACTGGTCTTCTGTCTATTAAAGAACTAAAGAAACTGATAAATGATGAGAGACTGAAAATCGCAAAGCTTGGTAAAGGATCAGGAGTAGTCCTGCTTGATAGAAGTGACTGTATTAAAAAGATGAATGATATATTGAATGACACAAAGAAGTTTCAAAAACTTGAGGAGAAGAAAGATTTCAATAACAAAGTAGAGAATGAATTAATTAACCAGACGTTTGAAGAAACTAAGGGAGGAGTAGATATTTTCTGAAAGTTTATATGAAGAAATCAGGCCAACAGGCGCCTATACGCCAAGATTGCATGGCCTACCGTTAAGACCAATACCTGATATGCAAAATTCGCCGTACCATGCTCTAGCTAGATGTTTAGTAATTATTCTCAAACCTTTGCATG